TAAACAACAAGTTTATTGAAGTCACCTTCCGTCTATCATCACATCTAAGAGAAAAGATATTTTTACTAGTGTATCGATTGGGTTTTTGGTTTTTGTTTTGGTAGAGTTCTGTGCAACTTTTTGAATTATACGTATTTTACAAAGTACTTTCCGTACTTCTACAATAAATTTATCGAGCGTAGAAGAGTGCCTGAAAGGAGTATTGTGTGAAGAGAGTAAAGACGGACAGCATTTTTTTTACTGTTCGGACAAATTAGTCTAACAAATTTCGGTTGCCGAAGGCTTTAGCACGTAATTATAGCAAAGGCTCAGAAATTATAGTAATTACGCACAGGTATCTTAGTCATACACCTGGAAAAAAAGTGATTAAGCGGTAGTTCGCACAGACTGCGCTGACTTGTTCCCAACAAAAAGCATCGCATAGAAAAAAGCAAAGCCAATAAGCTTGTCTATCTATTGTGCTAAGATGAATGTATATTGGAAGAAACAAGCTTGAAAATAAAAAAAAATTCTACGGACACTGAAAGAATGGCTATCTTTGCGTTCTTTTGAATATAGAAAAAAAAAGAAACAGGAACAGCTACGAAATTGTTTGATCTTAAAGCAGTAAAATAATATACTCTAAAAAAACACTGCAAAACTGCATTCGTTCTAAGACTTTCAGCACATCAAACTGCACTAGTAAGAGGCATTCTAACTTTCATGAAATATTTTTAGATCGTTTTTCTCGTCAAGCAACAGCGAAAGTTTTTCTCCCCTTGACAACAAGTAGGCCTATAGCTTTATTGACTGAAGATGCTGTTGTATGATTCTTGTTTTCTAGATCCCCATGGTTGTCAGTATCTACAGACCCGTCTCTTTCACCGGGACCACTAGGCCCGAAATCGGCAAGTTCAGCAGCCAGCTTAATACAACGAGAGTTCCAAGCACATAAGCTCTCGGCTATTAACGAAGTTAGCGATGAAGACACAATACAGTCGCGACGTGGCTCATCGATGAGGAGACTGCAACGGCTGCATACCGTTGATGTGGAGTCGCTGCCAACACCTACAGTTGTCGTAGACAGTGAGGATTCGGGAAAGCAGTATTCAAATGAACTTGACGCAACGGAGACAACTCCTTTGTCACCACAAAGTGAAGAAA